CTGTCGAAAGAAAGAAAGAAAGAAAGAAAGAAAGAAAGAAAGAAAGAAAGAAAGAAAGAAAAAACCCGGCTGGACAGTGGTGGTCCACACCTTTAATCCCGGCAGTTGGGAGGCAGAGGATCCTCTGTGAGATTGTGGCTAGTCTGGTCTACAGAGTGAGTTCCAGGACAGCCACCAGAGCTACACAGAGAAATTCTGTCTCAAAAAAACCAAAAACAACATCAAAAAGAACGCTTGCTGTTCTTGCAGAGGACCTGGTTTTGGTTCCCAGCACCCAAGACGGTGGCTCACTACTGCCTGAAACTCCAGATCCAGTGAATCCAACACTGTCTTCTGTGGAAAGCCACACTCAGTGATCCATACAGGTACGCACGCACGCACGCACGCACGCACGCACGCACGCACGCACGCACGCACGCTTTCTTTAGCGGTTTGTGCATAGAAGTGCAGTACCTAAGGAGATCAGAAGAGGGCGTCAGATCCCTTGGAGCAGGAGTTAGAGGAGGCTGTGAGTGTATGGAGTTGCTGGGAACCAACTCGGGGCAGTTTAAAGAACACATCCCCCCCCCCCCCCTTCCCCACCCAACAGGGTTTCTCTGTTTTTCTGTTTCTCTCACTCTGTAGACCAGGCTGGTCTCACAACTCACAGAGATCCACCTGCCTTTGCCTCCCATGTGCTGGGGTTAAAGGCGTGCACCACCACCTGGCTAAGAACGCCTCTTAAAAGTGCCCCGTTGTACAACACTTGTAATAGTAATAGTCCTTTTGCAGCTGGGGGCATAGCTCAGAAGTGGAATGCAAGGCCCATGGTTCCATCCCCAGCACTGGGAGCTCACAGTGGCTTCTTCATTCACTGAAGTCTGCCAAGCCAGAGCAAAATCATCATCAAAGAGAACTGAAAAGTACAGTGACCCTTCCTCCTGCCTCACCGTACTCCACACCAGTGCACAGTGTCACTCCCTGAGACTCCAGCTCTACTGTGAAGTGCTAGGAAAGCTCTTGGCAAGGAGGCTCAAGGGCACGCAACACTACCACCTATGGGAATGGGAAGAGAGAGCTGCAGAAGAGCAGCTCTTCAGTCTGGGGACCACGCCTCCTCTCCCCTATGCTTCTGCTTTCTCTGAGCCCATTGTTGGTGGGTCAGCCCACCCAGAATCTGAACTCTGGTACCTTTTCTCCAAGTGTTACTGAATCATGTTCAAACCCAAACATGAGAAATGATTGAAACCAACCAGATTTCGCACGCCTTTAATCCCAGCACTCGGGAGGCAGAGGCAGGAGGATCTCTGTGAGTTCAAGACCAGCTCTGGTCTACAAGAGCTAGTTTCAGGACACGCTCCAAAGCCACAGAGAAACCCTGTCTCGAAAGAGAAAAAAAAAAAAAAAAAAAAAAAAAAAAAAACCGAAATCATGGTCTGTCCTCACTGTGGACTGGTATGCTCTTGGATGAGAGATCAGTTCTATCCTGTTAGTGTGATGAGGCTCATCTGCACCCCTTGTGTTGTGTTTACTTCCAAATGCTGATCAAGCACTTTGCCAATGGGCCATGGAGATGGCTCAGTGGGTAGACATGCCTGCTGCCAAGCCTGGTGACCTGAGCTAGACCCTAGGACCCACCCTGTGAAGAACAGTTGATGTCTACAAGTTGTCCCACTGTCCCAACCTTGGTGCTATCCCTCCTAAGAAATGAAGACAGTTAACCTGATGAGAAAAAACAGACAATCGCCTTAACTGAGTTCCTGTTCTACACAGAAGACTGGCTGGCTTAAGAAATGTTTTCATGTGCTTAAAAATACCCACATATGCTGGACATGGTGGTGCACGCCTTTATCCCCAACACCCGAGAGGCAGAGGCAGACATATCTGAGTTTGAGGCCAGACTTGTCTACAACGCCAGTTCCAGGACATACAGTGAAACCCTATATCAAAAAACAAACAAGCAGCCAAAAACCAAAAGAAGCTCACTTATGTTGTATTACCGTCTAGAGGACCTGATGGTGCTGAGGAGGCTGAGGCAGGATCAGAAGGAGGCTCAGAAAGATCAGCAATTCAAGGCCCCATTACACTTCAAGTTTGAGGTCAATCTAAAAAAAAAGTTCAATTTAAACTTAAAAAAAAAAAACCCAAATCCAAGCCATTATACAATGGGTTCTGCCACTCTGCAATTCAGGCTCTACGGCAGAAACGCCTGCACTCAGTGCCTTCGGTCTGTTTGGACCTTACTAGCCTACTTCATTATTCCACTTGTCTACCCCACCCCTAGCAGCACCAAATCCCCTCAGAGACCCAGCAACAGGACATAGTACTACCACCATCTGCTGCACATGACCTGCAGCCAGTGCTCAGGAGCTAGAGATCTTCCTCCTTGAGGTTTCTGTGGAGGTGGGTGCTTGTTTTGGGTCAGGGTCTATCTATGTAGCCCAGGCTGGCCTCAATCTGGAAGAGATCCACCTTCCTCTGCCTGCTCTGCTAGGATCAAAAGTATGTGCCACCACCATGCCCAGTTCCTCTAGTTTTCTTTTTCTTTCCTTGTTGTTTGGGTTTTTCTGGGGGGGGGGGGGCAATCAAAACAGGGTTTCTCTGTATAACACCTCAGGCTGGCCTGGAAGAAATAGTGATCCTCCTGCCCCTGCCTCCAGAGTGTTGTGATTAAAAGGGCACACAAGCACCCTTTAGGTTAATCTCCATTTCAGGTTGAGGAAGAGACATTAACAAACAACAAAACAAAACAAAAACAACAACAAAAAACTAGTGAGGATGAGGAAGAAAGTGAGACTCCAAAGGGCGTTCTAAACCCCTATATCATACTGTTTAGGAACCATGTTGGTATATTAATGTTAAATCTCCTCTCTCAAACTGCAAACCATTAAAAATAATTTATTTTTTGTTTGGTTTGTATTTTTGTTTGTTTCTCGAGACAAGGTTCTTTGAAAGCCCTGGAAAAATATTATTTTGAACTAGAGAGAGGCTTAGGGTTAAGAGTACTTGCTGCTATTGTGAAAGACCCAGGTTCAATTCTTGACTCCCTTAACTGTCTATGACTCCAACTCTAGATCCACCACCTCTTCTGGCCTCTTTTGCAATCAGACATACATACATACAGGCATACAGACATACAAACATGCATGACGCACAGACATACATGCATGTTGGCAAATGACTCATACACATTAAGTATTAACATTTTTGGCCACGTCTAGAGTAACTCATTTCTAATAACAACCCAGCCCATTCAATCTTCCCAAGTGCCTAAGATAGCAATAACTACTGACAATTTAAAACCAGGAAAGCGGCCGGCGTTGGTGGCGCACACCTTTAATCCCAGCACTCAAGAGGCAGAGGCAGGTGGATCTCTGCGAGTTCGAGGCCAGCCTGGTCTCCAGAGCAAGTGTCAGGATAGGCTCCAAAGCTACACAGAGAATCCCTGTCTCGAAAAACCAAAATAAAATAAAACCAGGAAAGCAGGCACAGCGTCCTTAGCTGACTTGCCCCTGTGGCAGAACTGGTGGGGGCTAAACCTGGGAGCTAGAAAGTAACTGTGATTTGATCTTCTATATATTCATTCACCCTGAATAATTTCTACACTCCACTCTTCCAGAGTTCAAGGAACAACAGTGAGAAAAAAACAGAAAACACACCTCATTCCACTGGGCTTAGGATTTTATTCTTTCCTGATATTGTCATCTAAGGATATAATCCCAAATTCTCTTAAATAGATGTCCATGCAATAAGTATAAAATATGAACCTAGGTGTGGTGTCGCACACCTTTACTCCCAGCACTCATGAGGCAAAGACAGGGAGATCTGTTAGTTCGAGACCAGCTAGGGCTACAGAGTGAGACCCTGTCTCAAAAGGAAACAAACAAATCTGCAACAATAAATGTTAGTACAGAAGCAAAAGTCTGGAGGGACTGGGGAGATAGCTAGGTGAGTAAAGCCCTTGCCTTAAAAGCTTGAGGACTTGAGCGCAAATCCTCAGTACCTCGGCAAAAATCCTAGTGCTGGGGAGGGGACGCAGGCAATAAATAAATAAATAAATAAATAAATAAATAAATAAATCTCGGTTGGCGGCCCGTTTAGGCAAATTGGTGACTTCCTATATCTGAGATTCCCTTTCAAAACACAAGGTGGAGCCGGGTGTGGTGGTGGACACCTTTAATTCCAGCACTCCCACCGCAGTAGCAGAGGTCTCTGAGTTTAAGGCTAACCTGATCAACAGTTTACCTGGCCAACCAGGGCTACATGCTGTGACCCTGTCTCAATAAACAAACAAACAAAGGTAAAGCGCTACTGAGGAAGAGACACGACCTCGACCTCTGGCCCACACACCAATACCTTCAGACTCGGGTGACATGCTCGCACACACACTCAGGGGAAAGATGCAGAAGGGGAGGACCGGCAGCGAGCCCGAGACCGGGAGCCAGAAATCCTGGGGGAAATTCTCAACTATGCCACAGATCCCAGCAATGCGATCCCAGTCAGATCCCTACACCGCACTCCCCAACTCACAACGTGGGAAAACACTCAGGAGCTCCGCGCCACGCACGCAGCGCGCCCTACACCTGTTCGGCGCTCAGTGGGATGCCCTCGGCCCCCTTCCCCGACCCCATGACCTCACAAAGTGTCTCGTCACAGAACGCGTGTGGAGGAGACCTCCCGGGGTGACAAGGGGGCCTGCGGTGACCTCGCTCCCACCTCTGGGCCGGTTCTGCCGGAGGGAGCATCATCCTCGTCTCCAGTTTCAGACCCGAGA